GAGGGGACATAGCTTTAAATTGAGGGGTGATAGATATAGGACAGATGTCAGAGGTAGGTTCTTTACTCAGAGAGTAGTAAGGGCGTGGAATGCCCTGCCTGCAAAAATAGTAGACTCGCCCACTTTAAGGGCATTTAAATGGTCATTGGATAAACATATGGATGATAATGGAATAGTTTAGGTTAGATGGGCTTCAGATTGGTTTCACAGGTCAGCGCAACATCGAGGGCCAAAGGGCCTGTACTGCGCTGTAATGTTCTATGTTCTATGTTCTAAGGGAGTCCTACATAGTCTGTATGAAGAGCTTCACGCCAAATTTAGAAGTAGACCATCAAAGATCATAATATCTGCATCATTACCTGTACAATGTACAAACTGGAATAAGAAAACTGATTAGAAGGGTGAATGCATGACCCAAACCCAAAGCTTGGGTTGTGGACACTGCCACTTGTACTGGGGAAAGTGGGATCTGTACCAATGGGACGCTCTCCACTTCAAACCAGCTGGAGTCTTCATTCATGTAAATCACATAACAAGGGAAATAGAGAGGATTTTAAGATAGTAAGAGAAGGAATCTAATGTGGGAAAATGTAGAGAATTAAAGAATAGAGTCAAGCCAAGACAGAAAGATATGGAAAATTATAGAAAACAGATAAGTCAAAAGACTATATATTACAAATAGAATCATGAGATAAAAGTAAAGCCTCTGTATCTCAATGAGCACTACATTCAAAGAAAAACAGATGAACTGAGAGCACAAAAATAAATGATTAGGTATGATATGGTCGCCATTATACAGACATGGACTGGGACCTGAATAGTGAAGGATACTGAGAATTTAACAAGAGCAGGGGGAAGGATAAAGGAAGGCGTCATAGGAGCTTGTTTGAAATGCCTGATAATAATCGTGGGAGATTTAAATCTACTGTCTGTTCTCTGCGCTATTGGAGCTGGTGACGAGATGATGTGATAGGTGTTGAGGTGTTGGGGAAATGGGACCAGTCTTCTGAGGAGGTCAAGGATATTATGGAGGAGGAAGTCTCCTTGTGCATGAGAAAGGTCAGTTGTGTTGGGTGCTGCAAGCTAAACAGAGAATGAGATTGTATGTGTGAGGGATTGTTAGCATGCCGGCCGTGTGCCATGAGTAGTGTGGCCTTATGACTGCTCTGCCATTAAGTTGCTGATGGGTCCAATGCCACGTGGCCAATGCTTATCTGGATGCCCAGTAATCTACTAAAGATGGCACAAGGGATGCCAGACTTTCAGATATCTGTCGAGTGGTGAGTTCATCTGCTGGTCAAATGGACTAGAATCGGATTAAATCAGAGGTGGATAGATTCTTGGTAAGAAAGGAGTAGAAAGGTTATTAAACACAAACAAGAATTTGGATTTGGAGTTATAATCAGATAAGCTGCAATTTTATCAAATTGTGGAGCAGACTTGAGGGGCTGAATGCTTTACTCCTGCTCCTTGTTCATTCATTTGTTAAACATTTTGAGCAGAAGACAGGTCCCAATTACACAGGATGGTGTGTGTAATTTTGTTGTTGTTTCACTGCTGCCTTTCTTTTGACATAAGTGTAGGGGAGGCAGTAACATAGTAGTAATATGGACGTTATCCAGGTTAGTGTTCCAGGAATCCCACCATGATAGATGGTGAAATTTGCATTGAATTAAATCTGGGGTCACCAGTAATGGTGAGTATGAAAACATTGGCTATTGTCATAAAAATCCATCTGATTTAGACAAGGAAATCTGATCTCCTTGCCTGCTCTGGCAATGCGATTGACTCAATGACTCATTGTAGTTGACTCTTACCCATTGTCTGGAATAAGCCAGCAAGCCAATCAGTTTGAAGGCAATTAAGGATGAACATGAAATGCTGCTTGTTATTGGCAATGTTCATATCCCGCAAATCTGCAAAAACAATTAGACACAATGTAAGTTGCTGTTGTTAAACTTTACCTGAATAATGTTTCCCTGTCTCATTCTAATCTTTCCTGAGTGGATGTTAAATTCTAGAATTATTTTGTTTTATTAGATTGATGTTAACAACGGAGGTAGTTGTAACTGCTAACATGCATTTCGGAAATGATCCTGTGCGGATCCAGTGCAGAGAACATTGTTGGCAAATTAAATTTCATTCATCTCAAGCAGAGTGCCAAAGGTAAAAAAGCTGTCAATAAATCAACTTGCGCCATTCAGTAATGATATAAATCCTATGGTCTTCATAATATTTCATTGGCAGTGTTGGAGTTAATGTTTTAATATTCTGTTACGCAGAAATGACCAAGTTAGAGTTACAGACATATATGGTCTTTCTAAAAGCTGTAGCATTTTACAATTGCACATTTTATAATATAATTATAACATGATTGGATCACACAATATTATAGTACAGAAGAAGGCCATTTGACCCACCTTGTTTATACCAAGCCTTTTAAAATAAAGTATTGTGTTTATCTAATACGCTTTTGAACATTATGACTGAGTTTACTTTCTCCTTATCAGACAATACATTCCAGACCTGGCTGCACAAAAGAAATTCTCTTCATTCTTACTGGATTTTTGTTGAATTATTTTGTGTCTGGTATTCTTTAGTTAACAGTATTCCTGCCAATGGAATTTATCCTTATCAAATCCACTTACTATTTTGAGGGCTGCATTAAATTTCCAGCTGAGAATAATCCCACATTCTCGATTCCCTAATTTAACTGAAATCTCTCAACTCTGGTACTATTCCAGTAAATTTCCTCTGCAGCCTCTTCATTTGCTAACTCAAACATATTAGCACCATTTGGAACTACTTGTAAAGCACCCGGGACAGAGCACAGCAATTTGGAGCATAAAGTATATGCAGATTAATACTTACATGGGCCTTTGATGATAGATTCAATTCAATCACACCATGTAATACAACATTGATTTTATTTGGACTCATTCCACATTCTACATCATTAGATTATTTGTCAGGACTGGGACAGAATGTTTTAAATGGGTATCTGAAATTTGGGGATTGGGAGTGAATGTACTTTATTAAAGACACGAATCATAGCTGACCAGGGGTTGGCGGCAGAATGATCCATAATGTTTATGAAATGTGGAGCTCAAAAGCCTATCCTGCAGGACATCATCGATGGTGGCATTGTTATATATGAGAGTTTCAGCAGCAGCTGGGCCTTATGTGATGTTATGGAAGTGAACATTTTGAAGATATGGGCTGAATTTAATGTCTGTGACATTGCCTCCATCCACCAGCCAGAAAGCCAGAGGCAACCCATTTGTGACCATTTCATGAAGCTTTGATTCAAGGCTTTGACCATCAAATCTTTGTTGATTGCCTGATTTTGGTCTTTCCACCCCTTTAAGCATGGAAATCCTACCTCCATGAGGTGCCACAGACCATTCAGAAAGATAGCATCTCGTCAGATCCAGTAGTACCAAAGCAGGTTTGCAGTAGACCAGGGACAGTTACAGCAGAGGAGGCTACAGAATGGAGGGAAAGGTCTCATGGCTACCAAAGTTGGGCTGGAGGCCCCCCAACGAAGGTTGTGGATCATCATTGAGGAAAGGAAGAGGTTATTAGAATAGGTGGCCTGAGCCATTGGGCTTGGAGGAGGTCTTCCAGATATCAAGTCAGGAGGGCAGTCTGGTAGACTACCATTGCCAATCAGATGGGCTGAAAGGCCTAAATTAAAGGCACTTTAGGAGTATTCCATCATACTTCTGACATGTGCCTTGTAGATGGTGGACAGGCTTTAGGGAGTCAGGAGGAAAATTGCACGCTGTGGTACTCCTAGCCTATGGTTTGCTTAAGGCAAGTGCTCAGAAAGTACATGCTCAAGACCTGCCTGTCACTGCGGGAGGAGACTGTCTGGTGATAAGATGTAAAAACACACAGGGCAAATGTTCTTGAATGTTTCTTTTATCCTTGGTGACAAGCCCCCATCTTTTCATTAATGTCCATTTACTCAATGTCTATCCATCCCTTTAAGAACTGCTTTAAATATTAAATTTGCTATTCTTTAATAGAAACCAGGATGAATTCCCATCTTAAATACTGAATTGCAAGCTGCAAGAATCATTGTCTTCTGATTCTCGTCCTCTAACTTTGGGTATCGCAGCCTGAAATACTGATACGATGTATATAATGCCATTCAATAAGTCCCTGAAGAACACACACCTTTAAGGCATTCAGTGTCGAGCTGTCCACATTCATTCTGTGCCCTTGCTCCATAGCATTTATGTCATTGCTGTGTCTGTTCTACGGATACTGGAAATAAAGCCACTGAAGGAAAACAAAAGCCTCTTTATCTCTGTACTATCTCTATTACCTTACAAACGTGAGTTTTATCAACTATGTTCTGGATATACTATTCATCTCTGAAACAATCACCTGCTTTCTAGCTTTTTGTTCAACTACTCAACCTCGACTTTCTATGATCTATGATCTGTCTCCCTGGAAGAACATTTAATTGATTCCTGGAATGCATTCTCCAATGCCTGTCTGAGACCTTTGTTTTCCTTCTAATCCTATTTCAACAATTGGTTTAACCTCCTGCAACTGTAAAGTCATAATGTTGTGTTACTGTAACACCACTGATGAATGTGTCACTTCCTTTGCTAAATTCTGCACTGTTTTTAGTTTCTCATTCTCTTCTTTTACCCCTCAACAGTGCACTTCACCTCCTTCTACACAATAAAAAGATGCATGTGGAATCAATCTTGTCTGTTCTAATTTTTCCTTGGTCCAACTGTTTCTGAATAAACTGCATTACTTGCTCTAAGGGTTCGCAAGTCTACTTTCTTTAGCATTTCATTATGTAATCCTTGGATCTCTCTGTGTATGCTTTGGTAATTCTTCTAATTTAGGATATCCATTATCCATGACGGATTGCACCTACTATCAGTTCTAATTAACCATGTCAACTCATCTTAATGATGTCTAGGTCCATGAAATGTCCAGTGTCTAAGCTTTTACATTACTGTCACACAAACTGGTTTAACTTACTGTTTTCCATACCTCATCCCTAAGCGAAGGCTGATGATCAGGCAAAACTTGAAAAAAACTACCTTTCTTTTATTTTTCAACTTGCCCTTGAAGAAACTTACCTTTTTATTTCTCATCCTGTTGTGTTTTCTTCTAACATGTGAGATTTGGAGTATATGCTATATTCCAGAGTAAGAAATATTTTGCTGAAGAGTAACCATATTGGCAGAAAAGAAAAATCCCCAATTTTAGATTGCAAACTAACAAAATACTAAAGATTGATACTTTAGGTTTCATGAGTCAAGGCATGGCATACTGCCTAAGTTCAACATATGTTTTGTCGTTCTTGTGGGTTCTTGTAGTCAATGGGACATCTCTTCTTGGTTCCTTGTATCTAATCTCTCAGCCAATTCAAATCTAACATAGAAACAGAATCAAAAATCGTAGAAGCCTACAACACAGAAAAAGGCCATTGAGTCCATCAAGTATACATCAGTCAAAAAGAAACCCTGAACTATTCTGATCCCATTTTCCAGCACTTGGCTCACAGTCTTGTGTGTCTTGGCATTGCAAGTGTATATTTAAATATTTCTTAAATGTTATGAGGGTTTCTACCTCTGCCACCCTTTCAGACTGTGAGTTCCAGATTCCAGATTTGTCCTCACATCCCTTCCAAACCTGTTGCCATTACCTTAAATCTATGCCCCCTGTCATTAAACCCTCAGTAACAGAAAAAGTTCCTTTCTGTCTATATTTATCCATGTCCCGATTTATGTCCCTCATAATTTTATACACCTCAATCATGTCCTCCCTCGCCTCTTCTCCATTGCTCCAAGGAAAACAGCACCAGTCTATCCAAACTCTCTGCTAAATCTTCACTGCTCCCCCTCCAGTGTGATTACATCCCTCCTATAATGTGGATTCCAGAACTACACAGAATAACCTAGTTGTAATCTAACAATTTATACAGTTCCAGAATAACCTCCCTATTCTTAAATTCTATGCCTCTATCAAGAAAGGCAATAGCGCACATGCCTTCTGAACCACTAGATCTACCTGTCCCGCGACCTTAAGGGACCAGTGGACGTACACACCAAAGTATCTTTGATCCTGGTGGTTCCCAGGATCCTTCCATTCATCAGGTATTTTCTTGCCTTGTTTGTCCTGGTCAAGTGCGTCACCTCGCACTTATCTGGATTTACCTCCATGCACCACTAATCAGCCCATCTGACAAGCCCATCTATCTCACCTACTGTGATCTAATGCTATCCACCTATTAACTGTGCAATCAATTTTCATATCATCTATGAATTAACTGATCAACCCCCCTACATTCAAGTCTACATCATTGACAAATACCACAAATAGCAAAAGCCCCGATAATGATCCCTGTGGCAGCCCAGTAGAAATCGGCTTCTAGTCACAAAAACACCATGACTCTCTGTTTCCTGATACCAACCAATTCTGGGTCCAATTAGCCAAAATTCCTTGGATCACATGGTCTCTTGCATTTGCTGTCAGTCTCAATGTGGGATTTTAAACCAAAAGGGGCAGTCACATTACAGGAATTGTACAATGGACTCGCTAACAGTCAGAGAGAAATAGAAGAGCAGATATGATGGCAAATTTCAGAGAAGTGTAAAAGTAACAGGCTGGTGGTAGTGGGATATTTAAATTTCTCAAATATTAATTTGAGTACTCAGTGTGAGAAATTTAGGTGAAGCTGAATTTGTAAATGCATTCAGAAGAGTTTTTTAAACTCTTATGTAGAAGGTCCTACAAGAGAGGGGGTAATTCTGGGCTTCATTTTAGGTCAGGAAGACAAGTAAATGGTTGAAGTATCAATGGGAGAGCATTTTGCAAACAGTGATCATAACTCCATCAGACTCACGATTGTTGTAAGAACCCAATATTAGAGACCAGAGAATCTCAATTCAGAAATATAAATATAAATTGCTGGAAAATCTCAGCAGGTCTGACAGCATCTATGGAGAAAAATAAGACTTAACGTTTCGGGTCGATTGACCCTTCCTCAGAACTTGCTATTGAAAAGGACAAGGATGGGCCTGAATCAAAAATGCAATCATCTTTGCATCTTTAGGACTTTAACCGTTGCGGATCCTTCTCCCACTCACAATTACACAATCCACCTTAGCTACTGAAATTTCCATTCTGCCTTACCTGCTGAAGCTGCAAATGTCAAAGCTGCCTGCTGAGAATCCCTCTTCTGGTTAAAAGAGATTTCAAACCAAGACCGGAGCTTTCCTAGAATAACTATGATTGTAGTTTAATACTGATTCTCCCAAGCTAGATTATCACTGACTGAAGGATTCTTCAGGGGCTAAGCAGCTCTACGTTTTCTATTCATTCCCCGTTAAGACCATTACTTTAGCCCTGGCAATCCTGTTTGTATTAGATTCGTCGATCTCTAATACTGGATTCTTCCATCAATTCTTAACCCTGTGACAATTGCTTTAGTCACTAACTAGGGTTAATAATCAACTTTTATAACAACCCCTTCCATGAAATTTAGTTATTGGCTAGCAATGTCTGATGCAAACACTAATTTCCAAACAAGTGCCTTGCTCCTGATAAGCATACCTCAGCATGTGTCCCTTGACAGATGTAGAGTTCTCAGTGATGCAGAGCTATTTTTATATCATTTCTGCAGGTAGTTTTGCAACATTTAGCCTCAGTATGTGTACCTGGATGAAGACAACTAGTGATTAATTGATTGATTGTTTAATTCATTGATTTATTGTTGTCACATGTACAAAGGTACAGAGAAAAGTGTTGTTTTGCATGCTATACAGGCAGATTGTACCTTAATCTGTATTCTCAAATTGGAGGTTCTCAGAATATCTATGCTTCAAACCATTCCTCCCACCAATCAGCTTTGCAACCTTGGTATTTTTCTCACTGCTAATTTATGAGTTGTGTCAATTGACAGGAGACACTGAAACATTGAGACATCCAGCTACCGTCCTGTTCAATCAGCATTGTAACTTTGGCTTGTCTTTACACTGAACTAGATGTACTGGAGCTCAAATATGCAAATTGTCTGAGTTATACCCCCAGTTCACTCACAAAGGATCCTCATGTTTTTTCTTAAAACTACATTGCAGCATTTGAAGCCAACTTCAAGACTTTCTTAAAATTTATGGACTATCCAAATAATGCTTACAAATTAAAACTTTGCATTAAAAATTTTATGTACAGGACAATTTGATAATTTAAGGCAAATTAATTGCAACGATGTGTCAAAAAGGTGAGATCTAACACCTGGTAGCAGGAAAACTAATTTCTGTTGTGATGCCTTCCACCTGCATATTCCCAGCATCGCAAACCATCCCCAAAAGGGCTGGTAAAATTCCAGTTAATATCTGTGAGAACATAGCAATGAGAAATAAAGTGCTCACAAATGTGCATTAGGTACATTAAAGTCCGTAGTTGTCTAAATGAAACTATTGGTCACATTTACCAGAATACTACCTGCAAGAAAATGATGAAACCCGCTCACAATCCACTCTGTCCAGGAAAAACAGGACAAATCTGACCCGACGAGTTACTACCCTATTAGTCTGCTCACTTATTGAGGAGGAGATAGTGGTGTAGTGATCCAGCAACCCAGGCTCGTGTTCTAAGGTCAAGGGCTCAAATCCCATGATTGAAGCTGGTGAAATTTAAATTCAGTTAATAAATCTAGACTATAAAGCTTGTAATAATGGCCAAAACACTATCATAAATTGTTTCAAAAATGTATCTGTTTCACTAACAGCTTTTAGGGTAAGAAATCTGTCAGCCTTACCTAATCTGGCTGACGTGTGAGCAATGAGGTTGATTTTTAACTGTCCTCTGAAATGGCCTGGGAAGCCATTTAATCACTCAAGGGTAATGAAGGAAAGGCAACAAATGTTGGCCAAATCCCATGAAAGAATACAGAAAAATCTTTGTTGGAAGTCGAAACCTGTAACTCCCCAATTAACAGCAACAATTCTACAATACACAGACTGCAGTGATATAAGAAGGCAGTTCAATAATGCCTACTCAAGGAAAATGAGTGTTGGCAACAAATGTTTACCTCTCCAATGAGGCCCAACTCCATCAACAATTAGAAGAAAACTGAAATTTGCTTCAAATAGTTATTTTTCACCATGGAATTTTTGTTTTTATCATGTCTCCTGCTCTTTTGTTCTTGATCCTTCCACCAAAGGGAGCAGTTTGTCCCTATCTACTGTGTCTAGGCTCATCATAACTTGTATACCTCAACCAAATCTCCTCTCAGTCTTCTTGTCTTCAATGTATAATAATCCCAACTTCTTCAGTCTATCTTGGTAACCTAAGTTCCTCACCTCTGAAATCTTATTTGTGAATCCATCATTGTTTTTCAGTTCAATGAACTCTGATGTTCAGTATAAATTATTGGCGTAGATAAATAGTGAATAATCTGCAAATACTCTGTGAAATCATAGTCATTGCGACAAAATCATCACAATGTTCTCTGTACAGATTTGCAATCGAAGTACAGAAAGCAAACAAAAAGAAGCATCAATGTTTGATTTCTATTGCTCAGAGTCCATCCCTACAAATAAAGACCTTCAAGTTGATCAAAACAGAGCAACAGCAAAAGCCTGAAATACCTGTTATAGTCGCCAGGGTCAAGTGGCAATATTGAAAGGTCATTTCCAGAATGAAAATCATTACAGCGAAAATCATTGAAGAAAGCATACTGTCCAGGTGCATAATGGCTTGGTATGGCAACTGCTCTGCCAGGACCATAAAAAAACTACAGAAGGTGGTGTGCACAGTCCAGACCATCACGGAAGCCAGCCTTCCATCCATGGACTCTATTTATGCGGCTCGCTGCTGCGGAAAGGCAGCCAACATCATCAAAGACCCATCACATGCTGGTAATGATCTCCTACAACTTCTTCCATTAGGCAGAAGGTACAGAAGCATGACACACACATGAGCAGGTTCAGGAACAGCTTCTTTCTGTCCGTCATCAGACTGTTGAGTGGACTCTAGTCTCAAATAATGTAACCTGTATGCCTCCAAGTCTTTTTGATCTGTACATCCTTTGCTTGCTGTGATCTGCCTGTACCATTCGTAAACAAAGCTTTTCACTGTATTTTGGTACACATGACAATAAAATCAAAATCAAATCAAATGTCATGAAGAAAAGGTATTCAAAGAACGACAGAAATGTACACTGATTTATTACAGCTAATTACAATTGTGTAAAATGAGAACTTTTACACCAGATATATATTTTTATTATTTCACTTTTATAACATGTTTGTCAATATTATGCCTTTATGTGGTCATTTTTAAAAATATAATGCTTATACTAATTTTAAACTTTTACATGAAAACAAATTAAATACCAACTTTAAAAAAATCAAAGGATACACTAACTCTACATTCTGCAAGCCAAACAAAAGTCTTAAAATAAATTATTTTGAGTTTCTTAGACAATTTCAGGCAAGAGGTGATGATGATGAGCTTCATTTCAACAATTTCTGCTGAGTGTGGTTTTATGATTATCATCATCCTGCTCATATTAGTTTCAATTTTCTGTTCTGTTCCAAGCTTCATTTTAAGAAGATCTTCATATTGTCACTGTGTTTTTGGTCCTCGATCCCCATATGAATAACTTTGTTTTAAATATGGAATACAACATAAATTTACGTGACATCTTTGTGAAAAGGCCATGCTAATCTTCCCTGTATCACCCCAACACCAGTATATGTGCTGCAGATTATCTGAATAATATAGGTGAGGCATCGTCACTTAGCTTGACTCTAATAGTTACTTTGTGCATTTTTTTGAAACTGTACGTGTTCTGTTCAATTCCTGTAATTTTGAAAGTGACTTTCTAAATAATGATGGTAGTGTTTCATCCATCACTGAATTAAAATTTCAATAATGAGCAGACATGGTTTGAATGTTTTTAATGTTCCTATGGCCTCCAGCATCATCGGTGATAAGGAGGTTGACCACCCTTTGTCATCAATGTATTGGAGAAATTCTACAGAAAGCAGGGCTATTCCCTCTGATGATATTTCTGGTAAAATGCAGTTGTATTCTTTGTAACAATAAATATATTTAAAATTATTCTAGAAATGGATATCAAATAAAATCCACACTCTGTACTCATTATGGGGGACATTGGCACACAATGACCAGAGTCAGTAGTGAGTAATTGTTTGCTAATTTCCAAGAATAATTTTTGCTTGGTCCCTGGATGTTAGTAAAGAGGATTTTTCGGGGTTCACTGGGCAGAATGGGCTGTTATACTTTCACACACGCTCAACAATATTGGATGGTCCATTCGGCTTTATTCTTAAACAAAATTTCTGCATTATCTTATAAAACCAAATTGCTTGCATGGTCTTTTCAGGCCATAAAATCATAAGACAAAGAAGCAGAAGTAGGCTATTTAGTTCATTGAGTCTGTTCTGCCATGCAATGAGATTATGGCTGATTTGATAATCCTCAACTCTATTTTCCTGCCCTTTCCCCATAACCCTTGGTTCCCTAACTGATTCGAAATGTGTCTTTCTCAGCCTTGAATATACTTAATAATCCAGCCTCAACAGCACTCTGTGGTAAAGAATTTCACACGTTCACTATACTCTGAGATAAGAAATCCCTCCTCATCTCAGTCTTAAGTTTATAACCCCTTACTCCGAGATTGTGCCCTTTGGTTCTAGACTTTTCCACAAGGGGACACAATCCCTCCCCATCTACCTTGTCAAATCCCTTACCAACCTTTTATTTTTCAATAAGGTCACCTCCCATTCTTCTAAATTCCAAAGTGTACATGTCTAATCTTCTCAGTCTCTTCCCATAAGACAGTACCTTCAGACCTGATTACAACCTAGTGAACCTTCTCTGGATGGCCTGTAATGTCAGTATATCATACCTTAGATAAGGAGCCCAAAACTTTTTACTGCTAGCTTTTTGCGATTTATGACCGAAGATCCCCAAATTTCCCTCTGTTCTGTAGCTTTCTGCTGGCTTTCTTTATTAAAATAGTTTTCAGCTCCTTAATTCTTCCTGACAAACCATATAATCTCACATTTTCCCACATTATATTCCATCTGTCAAGTTTTTACTCACACGCTTAAGCTATTGATATCCCTCTGCAGACTTCTTGTGAGATTGTGCCCTCACCATGTGCCTTCCTGACTATTTTTGTGTCATCCTCAAACTTGGCCATAGTATATCCACTTTCCTCATCTAAGTCATTAATACATACAACAAAAAATTGTGGCCTCAGCACTGATCACTGTGGCATCCACTAGTGACAGGTTCCATCATATCATGTATTTCTAAATGTTCTTCTATTACATCCTTTACAATAGACTCCAATACCTTACAAGTAACAGACAATGTGCTAAGTGGTTTATAGTTATCTGT